AGGTTTGTTATATTAATTCGATTCGTTAATTTTTAAATATTTATCTGATATGATTTTTTATAAATAACATTGAAAAAATGGTAAACGAAATAGATATCGAACATTTTCTTAAGCTGTGTAATATGGAATCTTTAATGTTTTCAATTTATCCTTTCAAATTCGATACGTCCGTCACGCGTTTACTTCATTCCTGAACAAATGGATATTGAACACTCAGATCTAATAAAAGCGACGTTAAATCGAAAGTTTAATTTCGTCGAAATTAGTTGCCTGCGTTCAACGAACTTTTAGGAATCTAATCGCCTGGAAGCAATATAGAGGACGTTGTAATACCTCATTCCCCGTACGAATCTCGTACTGCGCACATTGATCCTCTTAAATTCCCATGTACCTTCCGTCTTGGCATTAGCATATTATCTCACCTCCGTAACCCCCCTCTTTTCTCTCGTCGCAGTCTCCCTTCGGTTCTCTTCTGGCACCTCGGCCCCCCTTCTGATTCGCGAAGGACTTCGCAGACACTCGAGAGTTTGTTTTAAAACTCAGATAATCGTTCCAAACTCTCGTCGTGTCTTTCTCTTTCTCGTTCTTACCCCGTGTCTATATTCCCCGCTATGTTTCCCCTTTCAGTTCCTCTCCCTGCCGTTCTCCGCCGAGTCCCGAGGGGAAAATTAGACCGAAATAAAAGTTCTCGCCAATTTTTAAGCGCGTTACACTTGTCTCTAAGGAGGATGAGATTGCGCGGCCCGATCGAAGCTCCTCGTCGGGAAACGGAGCTAAAACTCCAATGAGTCTTTTCGCCGTCGTTACTATTTGCGGAGCAACGGCGTTTTTTCTTTAATTGACTTTCTTCTAAAGATACGAGCTTCTCAACTTCTTTATTCCGGAATTATTTCTGGATATCAAAAAGTAAACTTTTTAATAATATTCGATATATGAAAATTATTAATTACACTCAAATGGAGCGTCTCGCGGCGTCGCCTAACAATAGAAAAACTATCGATTTTGAAGCAATCCCCGTGCATAAAATTCGCATTCCAACATACGATAAAGTTTCAATAGGTCGACCAAGATATCGGAAACGATCCGTCATCCGTCTCTCCACCGAGACAACTCGATTGTTGATACTGACGGCTAAAGGCGGTCCAGCCTCGCCACTTCCTTTCATTCCCTCGTCGCCTCCCCCTCTCAATTCATCCTGGATCAGGCATACTCGAGTTATTCGTAAGCAACATTCCCCGGCATTATTCGCCAAAAGCGCGGTGGATTCTCCCAGGGCGGCTGAGAAAGATTGGGACAGCTGTCTGTTCTCAGGCAATCAGAAAAACTACCTTCCTACCTTCCCTTCCTTCCTTCCACCATCCGTCGACGGTACTTCGCCGCGGCTTAAGGAGAGTACAAGGGTGGCAGCTGCCTTCAGGACGAACACCCTCTTCGCGGTTTTTAAGAATCTTAACGCCTTTCTCTCTTTATATCTCCATCTTCTGCCTCTTTTCTTCTTGTATGCTTTATAGCTGCATTCAATTTCGTCCTTGCATTTTATCAGTGTTAAGTCTAACGTGAGCCAAATATTTTTTTCTTTTAGAGATGCATTAGTACTAAAAGAATATCTTGATTGATCTAAACTCACGTATTGACGTTTTGGTTCAGTCATTTATTTGCACACGATCCGTTTGCGACGTTATTTCCATCTGAGACAAAAGAGTGTTGCAATACACGTGTTAATTCCTTTTATTTAGATGCAAAATATGAAACGACCCTCGGGTTAACTAGTAGATATCTTGAGTGTTCTCCGCGATCGAAGATATTCACGCTCCAGGAACGAGATGTCAAGAGGGATCCATCAGGCTTTAGCGTAATAGATGCGCAGACGACATTAGCATGCCACGCCGATTATTGGCATTAGTCTGCCATCCCGTTATTTCGCACACCGGTCATTTATAACCCGTAAACCCTCCGAGCGAATCGATATTGCGTGTGAAAGCTGCTGGATCGCGCAATATCGCGGAATACACCGCGGACGTGCCAATTTTTTCCGATTGACGGTACCAGAAATTTACACGAGGAAAAAAAACAACAGCATCGATTTCTCCGTGTCGGGCAATAAAAAATATCTCGTATTAATTAAAGCGACACGTCTCTTATACCGTTCGAGAATTGAAGAGTTCACGAATTTTGAGACGCGAGACGTCACGTTCGATCTCGCCGAGGTAGATTTGCGCGCGCCTGAGGATTTTTGAAAAATGTTTACACGATACACTGTTAAATATAATATCACTGTTAAAATATATATCTATAGTGTTAAATTTAACTTAATTTAAGTCGCTACACTATATATATCGTCATATTAATATTATATCAAATTTATGTTTTAGTGTAAAATAACGATGTATTGAGTAGGAGCAGTGGCGATTTAAATTAGGTTAAATTCTTTTGACACTATAGATTTAATAGTGTACTCTTTTACATTTACGTGAGTCGATAGTTCTTTAAATGTTATAAGCGACGTATTTACACGCATCCACGCACGTACGCACGGCCCACGAATATAGAGTCGCAAGGGTTACCAACCCCTGAATTACACGCAGCTCGCTCGCGAGGGCGGTTAAGGGTAGCGAATTTGCATATTATAAGTAGTACACGTTACTGAGCTTGATATCATCGAGGTGGGGACCTCGTTATTCTGTGCATGCGTACGATTCGAGCGTGCGACGAGCATCTACGGTCTTAGACCGCTTCTAAGAGGCGTTCCGAAGATTCAAACTCTCGCGACGAACACTTTATCACAGCTTGTAAACGATTTCCTAATAAGAGAGATGACGGCGAGCGATATTATTAGAAGTGATTGTCGATGACGCGTTTAACAACTCAATTTTCGTGAGAGAAATTCGTTTTACATAAAATAATTTTTTTAAATACGAAATAAATTAAAAGGTTTTTGTGTGCTTTTATATAGAAAGGACGATTTTGCTAATGTATTTAAAAATTTAGTTAAATACAGATCTCAAAATAATTTTGTTAAATTATCAAAATAATTATTAAGACGATCAAATTAGTTGCTAGAATGTCAAGATTGTTTGCAGCATTGCTTATCGATCATCATGCTTGATAATCCTAAACTGTTAAATTCATAATGTTAAATTATACCCAAATTGAGTTTTTAAACCAAATTTCTATAGGTCGCTAATGCCCTATTATTCAATATGTCATTAATTTAAGACAATGAGTTAAGTTAACTTAAGAAAAAGAATTTAACTCAAAAAAAAGAATTTAACTCAAGAAAATGTATTAAATTTGACACAAATTTTTAGCTCATTTATTAAGTGCACACATTATTATGGACTTACTTTAAAACTAACTAGAAAAATAGATTGATTTACATCTTGACACACATGAAAGTTATAAAAATGACAAAATATTATTTTCAACTCAAGGAATTAGATTATCATTGTTTCTTCCGATATCTAACAGTGTATATAATTATTTTGATAGTCCAACAAAATTATTTTCAGATCTGTATGTAGCTAAATTTTAGATACTTCATCAAAATCGTTCTTTGCGTATAGATTTTTATTAATTATTTTGAATATAAATGGAATATAATAACGAGTCTAATATTACAATAATATAATAAAATAGTCTTTTTCTACCTATATTAGTATTATTTCGGTCATTACTTCTAAGTAAATATCGCGAATTAGAATACGTGACAAGTTATTGTGCAAGGAAGACGATGAAATCCTTGCAAGACGGCACCCGGATTAAATGGATAGGCTCCTAAGGTCGAGTAGGACGTGGTCCTTCGTGCGGCAGGAGCTTAAGATATTGTTTCGAAGCAACGCTGTTGCCTTAGGATAATCAAGAAGACTTAATCCCAACAAGCTTAACGCCGATGAGTTCATAATTCTGGACATTCCTACTCGTGAAAATCGCTTCTCTCTTCCTTGCTTGTCATTTGTCCCTTATTATCACAGTTTTTATATTTCCACTTTAATTATATAATTAAATGCATTATGCACTATGAAAAAATTTAGTGTCTTCAGCAAAACTATTTAGTTGAGGCATTTTTAAACAGTAATCAAACATTTTATTTGTATAACAAAAAATTTAGTTGCTTTTGCAAAATAATTTCTCTGCTTTGTAAATAACAAAAATTGTATTTGTTCATACTAAATAAATAATTTAGTTTGCATAAAATTACAGTTTTATTTGGTACATTTTAACTAAAAATGTTTGTTTGGTATATTTCAACCAAATTTTTGTTATAGTAAAATTTTGGTTCACAGAATAAAACATTTTGCCTAGTGTGTATATTTTTTCACAATTTTTCAGAAAGAAAAATTTATTTGCAATATTTTTCTATCTTTTAATATTCTTTTAAATCTTGTTATACTTGTTTCAAAATCGTTAGGAAATTCAAAAATTATTTTCTCGTGCCATAAAAGTTCTTAAATTACTTTTTCAGTTAATAAAAAATTCGCTATTATAAGAAAATGTTTCAATGATCTTGTAGTTTTATGAAATAGCTTTCAGAAGTCTAACGATCTTCGTGAAGAGTAAATTCTTTTGCACGCCTTCGAGCGAAGTAGGAGCGAATCGTTAAAGCATGCGACGAGGCTTGCTTAACGGGCAGAGCTTAATTAATAAGGACACGCGATATCCTAACTCGTAAGACGATGGTAGGATGATAAAGCATAGCTGAAGCCCTCGGGGGAGTCCTTTGTTGTCGAGAGGGTCAGGATAGGCGACCTGCCACTTTAACCCGCCTTAAGGGGTTGCGCCTTGAGGAGTTCGAAACCTTGCGAGTTTGAAACCCGATGGCCAGGGTCCAGAAAGGAGATTCCATGATACGCTCTATCGTATTTTACATAAAGTTATCTCGTAACGAAAATATGTCTGCTGATCGATAGACATGTACTCTCTATAACAACGTAAACCTATAACTCGTCCTATCGTTGTTCGCAAGTTTCACAGATAATAGAAGCAAACGCAAATCGTTTTACCGGCGGCTGAAGATGGGTCACTTGTCTCTTGATGTGTGCCAAAGTTGCACTAGGCGGGGGATGCAGGGCCATATTGGCAAAAACCAGCCTCTCTTCGTAATCGTACTCACAGAGAATCTTGTTATCACAAAGATAAAATCTGTCACCCACGCAAAATCTGCAATCAGAAATTAATTTGTTTGTGTTACAATTATGCTGCATAGTAAAAAAAAACATTTTGTGTCAAAATCGACCCATATTAAAATACGTTAAATTTTTAACATCTGAGCTTAATTTAATATATGATCGTTTTATTTGAATATTTTGTGTTAAATTGATGATTCGACATTTCTTCATTAAAATAATATAATTTGTGAATATAAGTGAACAATAGCAGGAAAATTATATATTTTAAAACTTAAATTTTAAGATAAATGAATTAAATGTGTTAATCGATTAAAAATATAAATAATCTTATGTTTAGTCAAAGTGGATCTAGTGCTTAAGTATTCTAAATTTCTATACCTATTCAATTCTGCAAATCGCGCGTCAAAATCTTATTTAGTCTTAAAATTATCAACAAAACTGAAAAAAATTTTGGTCGCGATTTACAAAATTGAATATGTATATAAATTCACCGAAATATTTAAGCATTAAGATCCGTTGTGATCGAAAATGGATTACTTCTCTTAATTGATTTAGTCTCGTTGGTCTAATTTTGAATTATAATTATTTACATGTGTTAGTTTAATATATTATAAAAAAGAAATATGATTTCACAATTTGCTTACAAATTGTATTAATATGTTATATGTTAATTTTTTACATATTTGTATTATTTCATCTGCAATCTGAGTCTTTTTTGCCCAATCCATTTGTTTTATTGTTCTAGCGCATTTTAAAAAATGTTAAAAATTCAAGATTACTTTTCAACATCTTTATTACATTACCAATAGTTTTAACACAAATATTAAAATTCTCATTTAATAAAAATTGAAATTTAAACAAAAATGGGGAAGAGATCTAAAAATTAAATTTTGCTTGTACCAAAAAAGACTCAGATTGCAAAAGGAAGATTACATTAACACAAAAAATGAATGAGTTATTTGAGACATGTAAAATGTGTTAAATTTAACACAAATTCTTCAACTGTGTTATTTCGGATCAAGAATGTACGATCTTTGCGAAATTATCACCATGTTAAAAAAGCCAGGAGGAAATAGCGAATAAACGAAGATATACATTATCATATTGATTCACAGTTTAGAAGTAGCGAAGGAACGGAAAGAAATTCCGTTTACGACTTACACGAAATCGCTAAAGCGGTAAAGCGTGTTAATTTCTTTTAAGGTCACTTTCCGTTTTGCTCCGCCGAGGAAATTGCTAGAAAATAAAAACAAGCGGCGAAACGCCGCCCCTCATCCACTTTTTCCGGCGTCTCTCAAGACTCTTAAATGTAAATTTTCAGTCGATTCCCAGACATCGTACTCAGATTACCCACGATTGGAAATCTCTGCACTTCTGCCACATTCTTACTTTCTTCTTTCCCTTTCAAGTTCTAACTTTCCTCCTTACTGAAAATAAGGTATTTACCCCTTCAGACCTGATTTTATTGGAACCACACGTCAAAAAAAGTTTTTTTTCTAATTCAATTTAAGAGCATCTTAATAAGTAATCATACTTCATACTAAACAATTAATCATAAATTCATACTAAACAATTAATTTTTTAAATTAAAATTTTGACTATTTTTTCAACATATACATTATTATATACATCTCAGATAATGATAGAATTAAATAATTTCAATAGATAATGTCTTTAAATTTCGTGTGCACGTATAATGTATACAGGGTCTGAAGGGGTTAAACAATGTCGTCTGATGCGACAGAAAATCCTTTAGCAGATCATGCACAAGTTTGACGTCTGTCCATTCTCGGATGTCAACGAATAAAATCCAAGAGACGGCACCGAAGAGTGTATTTTAAAATTCAGCGTATAAAAGTCCGGGATTTTGGAGTAATCCGACACGATATACATACCGCTGCACGCGGATTTCGGGATGGCGGCGAGGTACCGAACGTGCTCGGTTTGCGATATCAGAGAAATAAGGTTGCCACCGAGGGTTATACGCATCGACCAACTGTCGCTCTCGCGAAGGGGCGGGCGGGCTGGCGGGGCCTTTAAAATCAAAGATTTCACATTTTTCGTTTTTATTGCCGGTTTAAAAGTCAATTTTTTTTCTACCGCGCTCTTTTGGGGGAGAAGGCGTATAAAGGATGTTACGCCGGAAATGCTAAAGAGCCATGAAAGCAGGCTCGTAAGGACGACCGGCGCTTCCACCGCGCCACAATGAATCGGCGATCCACGAGGGACACGAAAATCGTTTTGCTAGGATCCACGGGGGCTTGAAAATTCCCGTCAGGCATCGGGCACATCACTCTCCGGACGATATACATACCGCGTATCGATCGCGCGATATGACAGGCGTGTTCGCGCGATTTGTCTTACAGAAAAGTCTCACAGAACTTTCAGTCGTCTTTGGGACGAATCCCTCGGATATCATTAATGTAGACCATTCGGCGAAAATACCCTCGTCTTTATTTCTTATAAGGTTTCAGATATTGCTACATTATCTTTGAATTTATGCCATTTTTTTAAACTCTTAACGATCCAATAAAATAATAAAAGAAACGTGTCCTGGGTTTGTTAATATTTGCAGTTGAGACAATTTTTGATAAGTTATACGTTTGATTCAGATGCAATAATGTATGAAAATTTTTTCATATAATATTGCGACCGTAATCATTAAGGGGATGCTGAAGTGACCAAATTATCACATTACAGTCGTATAAAAATCTTTGAATTGACTGAACGGAATATAAAATTTTTATTTTTTATTCCGTTCAGTCAATTCGAAGATTTTTATACGACTGTAATGTGATAATTTGGTCACTCCAGTGATTAAAAAAGTTTTAAAATTTTATAATAAGTTAATTTAGACCGCTATATGTAATATAAGTAGAGATAAGGTCAGTATGATCGAGACAGTGTGAGGAACATTTTATTCTTATGTTAAAAATGGTCCATTCACACACACACACACACACACACACACACACACACACACACACACACACACACAAAAATAGTGCATTTTAAAATATAAATTTAAAGAGAAATGAATAAAATATTTATGTTGATTTAAAAAATTAATATTTATATATATCATATATATATAAATATTAATTTTTTTTGAAAAAATATGCTTTTACAGTTTACTTACAAACTATAAAGTCAGTGTTGAGTTTTCTGTGTTATGTTTTTTTATTAACACATAATATTTGTGTTACTTTCTGGTCTCCCAACAAAATTATTTTCAGATTTAGCTAAATTTTTAGATCCTTCAAAACCGTTATAACGAAACCGTTCTTTCCAACTAAAATCTTTTAATTATATAAATTGCGCGCCGCTTATTGTTGGACTTGAAACGTATAGCTTGAAAAAAAAGCGTACCTCGATATCGGCAATACTTCTCAATGAAACGAGCGACTTTCTGTCAAAGACGTCGATGAGCCGTGTAAACTCCACATCAGTGCAAATGTCGAGAGTAAAACTCCTATACCTTCGCGTTTGTAATTCACCGGGTGAATAATAAAAGCATTTTTTCGGTAAGGAAATGGTAGAAGGGTACATCGGCTACATACGGCCATTGCGTATTCAACGGATGTGCTGTCCCGTGCATGAGATCCTGTTTCGGTTTTATGTCGGGATTTTTCTGTCGAGTGGTTTATACCGGCGCTTATGTAAATGCAGACGTGATTTTTTTCAGCACCTACTCGAGCCACCTGAACGAGCGCGCGTGGCACATTTGTAGCATTCGAAACGAGCCGGTCGACCGACGTCTCCTTTCGAGAGAACCATGAAATCGCAATAAGATTTTACGACATATCCGACAGAATCTGCATTTTTTCAGTGGACTCAGCGACGCGTCTTCGCGGCCGCTGAGCAATTTGTACGTCGACGAAATTAATGCACGCGAGTCGCGAAACAGGCATACCTTAAATATATTTTAATATAAAATTTGATTTGATATAAAGTAATGAATGTACAACGCGATTGTGTAAAATTGTGCAAAATCCTGTAAAATTGTATAACATTGTGTAAAATTGTAGTTTCTTCGAAGTTTATTTAGCTGCGACAATTTTAATGAAACATCTGCGAAAAATATTTTTTCCAAAAGTGACTATCTATTGTGGTAACCGAAAGACATTTATGATATTCTCTTATTGTAAATGAGAACAAATTTGAGTTCATTGAAATTCTTGATACAGATGCTGCTACAAATACTAGGTACTTACCGATTACGGCTTCAAAACAAAGTATTTGATCGACAATCATATGTTAGTTATGAGGAGTCAATATTGAGGCTGCAGAGATTATTATTGGTACGGATTCTATTATAAGCTTCTGCTATAATAAACACAGGTTTACTGATTACAATTTCAAAACAGAGTATTTGATTACGCATAAATCGTATTAGTTACATTGTTTTGTACATAATAACTTTGATTTTGTTCATCACGGTTAAAGATTTTTGATATCCGTCGCTGATTTGAAAATATAAAGACGAGAAGTTAGGACATCCGAGATTATTGATACAGAGATTATTGATTCTGCTGTAAATATAGGTTTACTGATTACAGTTCCAAAACGGAGTATTTAATTGCGTAAATCGTATTAGTTATCTCGTTTGGCATAACTCACCGATTTTGTTCATCGTCGTTAAAGATTTTTGCTAGCCCGTCGTTGATTTAGAAATACAAATACGAAATGTTATATAAATGCATCAGAGTCCACATTAGAAACTCGATTTAAAATAGCAAGCGACGATTTTATATTTAGTTTGATTGGCGACGGTATAATTGAACTTAAAATATCTGCCTTATCAGCACGTGAATCCGCGATGTCTCGATCGATAGTCGAGTGTGAGTTAATCGTAATATATAAATACGCTCCTTTCTGTTCAGTGAAATTAGGACACCCCGTCGGGTACCCGAGGTACATTAATGATTTCGTACGTACAAGTTTAGCATTTGTTATCGATTGTGTCTATTCAATTAAGTGCTTGAATTAATTATGCTGAATGATCCGTTTATCTCGTGAAAGAAGTTTAAT